GATATAGATGCTTTCTTTACAGAGCAGCAGGAGATTGTTTCTGCATTTCATTAATATATGAAGCCTAGATCCTGCTTTCATGTGATTTTTCTTATGATAGGGAGGTACTCTGTAAATGTTCTTAAATGCTTCCCTTGTCTGGTGAGAGCAATAGTGATAAAAGTCTCTATCTTCATCAAATGGAAGCCAAACACCCTTTAACATGAGCCATGCTAGCTCAAAGCACCTATTTCATGTTGGCTCCCTGTGTTGCTCCTGTTGTTTCTCACCCAGATGATGAAAGATAGTGTGTTAGGTAAGGACAGTGCAAAAATCAGAGTAACATACCCATTTATCATAAATGCTGTTGTTGAGTCAACAAAACAGCCTACAGCATACCCAGGATAATTCTAAAGTAGAATACTACCTGAATCCACAAAACCAGATTGCTTATTGTACATAAATTTCTTCAGAGCTTGCCTGTACATTTCTACAGCAACTTCCATCATTGGCCTACATTAAAGGACTTAAGATTCGAGATTTCATCCCTGTGCATCAGCTGATCAGCAGCAATGTTTTGTATGAGCTGTTCTTCTTGGCAGTAAATAATTCAAAGTCTTTTAAAACTCCTTCACTGAGGGGAGACTGAATTTAGCGTTATGCAAACAGAAATGAGAAGTCCACATTAAACACTTTCTCCAGGCACTAGAACACTCAAAGTTGAGTAATTATGACTCCCCGTGGTTTCACAGGTTAAGAGAAACTAAAGAACAACTTTGAAGTTGCTCGTTGATGTCACAGATTTAAGAGTTTTATGTACTTGCCATACCAAGTTCCTAAAATAAACTGTCTCAGAGAAGTTGCATGGGGAATAACAGCTATCCAGCCAAGGATCTTGTTTTCTGCAGTGTTTTCAGGCACTGTAAGAACAGAGCAGAGTGGTTATGTCCCCTTCATACTGCCCCTGCCCCCAGTAATTAGCACCACATGAACCTCCTGAACTAGAGGCTTCATACCAGACATTCACATTCAATAGGTATGGATCGATCTCTGAGCCTGTCCAAATCAAACGTGATCTGTGGTTTATACCTCTATTGCCAAGAACTCTATTAATATCACATACTTCTAGTAGTTTAACTTCAGAAATACATGAAAAACATTTCCAAGTTGTTAAACTTACTGGAAAGGGAAAGAATTCTAATCAGCACAATTTTCTTCAGGTCAGTTTATCTTGAATATTAACTAGTAGGCATAGCTATGAGCAGAAGACAGGAGTATCTAAGGCAAACTAACTGTTCACAAGCCTTGCAGTGGCAGCAGTCAAATGAATCCTGGAATCTCTAAAAATACCAACTCTTATTACTTTCTGTTAGGTATGGCAAATTATTTCTATAATTTTTACAATGAAACAAGCAGGAAAAAAACAGGTAAGTTGAAGACATAAAATCACCACCAGTGGAAGAGTGGAAGCCTTTGTTTCCACTCTCTCATGTCTTTGCAGGCAAGTCTTTACTTTTTGCTGGGTAGGTATTTCTACAAAGTGAATAAAGACTTAGTAATCAATTTAATTAAGCTCAGTAATAAACTCTTTTCTTTTCCAGGTGTTAAAAACACTTAGTGATTCAGATTCAGTTTGTAAAAAATTATGAGGTGTTCACTTAAAATCTTAATCCAAGAAGTTGCTCTGGGACTGCAAAGAAAACCAAAGGCAAGCCTACACAGGCAGGGGCAGGCAGAGCTGAGTTCTTTTGCCTGTTTTGTTCCCGGCTGGCCAGACAGAAACCAGCTCCAGCCCAAAACACACAATCGTTTTCATGTGATGTGTCCAAGCTAATAGGCCTTATTTAGATACAACACTGCAATAATACTTCCATATAGCCACAAGATCAGAGCAGGCTCCTGTCAGATGTCTCAGTGGCCAGGCAGCTGAGCTCTGTCCTCCACCACAAACACTGGTTTGAAAGCTTGAATCGGTTTATGGAGGTTGCTTTCCCTATAGCAAGTGACAATTCTCACATCAAATCCCTTGCTTTCACGATTATAAATATTTACCTTAAGACACTGGACCCGAATAAATTAGTATCTAGTTACAAAGAAATCTAGGTTCAGTCCTGGTAATTCTTGCCCTGACACAAAGCTCTTCTGAAATCCAGTGGGACTGTTCTCATGAGCAATGTCCAATGTCCAGTGGTAAGATTCTTACAACCAGCCCCCACCAATATTTTATTTTTGACATTAAACTGCTTATACTGCAGTGCTGAAGTTTCATGGGACTCTGCATGCAAACAATACCGACAAGCATATCAGCACTTCTCTAAACACAGCTTCCTAAAGTACTTAATGCAAGTCTACTGCTGGAGATGTTTCACATACCAAGTTATGCACCAAGTTCACAGCACAGACAAGTACAGTTACAAAAGCAAAGTCTAATTTTACAAAGGCTCCAAAATGATGTGTTCAATTTTTGACATGAATAATCACCTCCAGGAGCCAGCAGCCTGTATGTCTGTATCTTACTTGTTTACCTGGTCAGAGAGCAAAAAGCAAAGTCAAAATGTAATTCTGGGGTTTTATGTTAAAGGTAATGGGAAATTTTGCTCTCAGGACACTTACAAAACACCTCATCTCATCCCATTCTGTCTTACCATAAAACTATCTCAAAATACAGTACAACAATGTACAGTGTGTTATGCATCCCAAAACCACACAGGTAATTCAAGGATTGCCTCCCCTTGCATCTACTTTTTTTTTTTGGTCCCTTTTGCTTCTGACTGATATTGATAAGATACATAAGATGTTAATAAGATACACAAGTATGCTTATTTCATCATGTCAGGATTAGATTTAGTTAATTTGTTTTTTCACTAGTCACACATTTGAATTGACAGGTAAACATTTTAACAGAAACAGCATTTGTTTTTAACAAGTACAAATTCAATGCAGAGTAACAAGAACTACATCTCAGCATTCAGAGCTCTCAAGTAAGAGTTTAAGAGAATAGAAGCTTGGAACTATGATAGAGGAAACTTACACTAAGTGTACAAGTCCAATTTCCAATTAATGTAAACTAAAAGTGCCAATTTATAATCAAAAACAAAAACATCCTTCATTCTCTCCCCTCCCTGCCTCCAGTAGTTTAACAGTATCCAGCCCAATTTCTTTTGAAGCTGGTTGAGGAAACAACTGACATTAAGATAATTTCAAAAAGATAGAAAATAGGATCAGAGATGAGGTATAATGCAGTTTTGCTACAATTAACTGATGTATTTATGAAGTGCCTTGAGACACATATATAAGGAAAGCAACAGTGACAATGCAGATGTATCCTCTGTCCAAACATTATGGTTTCATGAAATAACCTTTTGCCTAGATGAAAAGCACATCCTACTAATATTATATATATATATATATATATTTATTAAAGAAAACTAATAAAAGGCAGGAGTTCTGGGAAGACAGACAGCTAGCTATGAAGCTTTTAGAAGAAATCTATGTACATAAAGGAATGAGCTTTGTGTCCAGAACATCTTAAAATTTAAACAAATGAGAAGACTGCACTAGTACAACAGTTGCAGATGTCTGTAGTCTGGAAAGGATCGTATCAGTGCAGATTTACATCTTCCCAGAGCAGACATGAAACAAGCTGCAGCAGTCGGAGACTTACACGAGCATTCTAAACTAAGCATTCTACAGTAACAGCTCAGGAAAAGGAAAAAAAGGAGGAAAGAAAGAGAAAAGTTGAATCACACCCTAATTAAAACAATTTTTCTAGTACAAGAGTCTTCATGTAGGTTAAGGTCTATACAGCAGGATACAGCTGCATAAATGCAAAAGCTCGTGGTTTAAAAACAACAGAGGAAACCTGAAAAATGGAACTAAGATTGTAAGAGAGAGAAACAGGAAGAAAACAGGCAAACAAAACCAAATGTAAAGCATGAAGAAAAGCTTGTGAAGGAAAAGATAAATGAGAACAAAAAAAGACAGTGAACCAGAATTATATCAGACTAGGACTTAATATTGAACTTAATTTTCCCTTTGCTACCGATCTATTTACATCTAAACTATCAATAGTTTTATCTGTAGCCATAATAAACCCCAAATAAAATATCTTCCCTTAGTTTTTGAATTGCTTCCAAAAAGAGTTAAAAACACTTCAGAAGCAGAAGATTACAAATTGGGAAACTCAGAAAAGATTTGTAGCTATCAATGAAGATAAAAACCAGATACAGACCTTTGCAAAACAGGAAAAAGTATTTTGCAAAAGGATATGGTCAAACACAAAAGGCGGCTGGAGGCTAACACTCAGGTAATGAATGCTGAAATATGTAAGAAAAGTATTTCCTTTTTTATAATTTGGGTGGAGGGTAGTGAAGAGAGAAGTAATATTCCCACTTCAAAGTCCCCCTAACTTTTTATGAAGAGTAGTCCTTCCAAGCCTACAGCCACTACCAACCAGCTGCTTTACTAGAAATCTCATAATTTGTTGCTACCCCTTAAAATTCAGGTAAATAATCCAATTCAGAAAGCAACCACAAGTGTAGACCAAACATTTTTAAGAATTCCAGAAAGGGCTGTGCTGCAGAGGAACTCAAGGAACTGAAGACTGAACGCTATACAGTTAATAGAGACTTTTCCACTGAAATATTATACCCATGCTCACAATAACAGATGAGCATTCCTGAACTACTTTGCTACCAGAAAGTATGCACTTTATTGGCCTTATCATTGATAAGACATTGCTCAGGCCTTTCTAGTGCTCTAAACATGAAAATATTAAGTGAAAACACAACTGAAGCCCTGAGCAACACTAGAGGCATCATGGTACATATTTAGTTGTTATCTGAGCCTGTCTTGAAGGTATCTGTCAAAGTCTCTCAAGCTGCCAGAGACAGATGACCACAAGAATGCCCTGCTGTCCCATTACCCCCCAAGGTTTTTCCTACAACAGTGCAGCTAGCACTCTACTGACCCCACTTCATTCTGCAGTGCTACAGCAAGTGTGGCGCCTTCTTCTTACTCACCATGGGGGATAGATGTGGATAACATCCTGTGGTCTGCTCTTCAGGTGAGCTGCTGTCTCTCTTGTGAAGAGGACTTTGAGTATTGGCTCCTCTGCATTGACGACAGCATCCTCGGGTGAAAGCATAGCAAGAGACTGATCCAGCTGCTGGCAGATGGCAACTTGTATTGTGCACTCCTCAAATATTTCCAAGATCTTCACAATTAAAACACCAGATTTATCTGGAAAGAAAGTGAAAATGAAAAATAAAAATGCAAAGTCTGGATGAGGAGAAATAAAGACGTTCCGGCACTCTAAAGATGTGCATCCTTCTGTGCATTGCACATCTGTCTGACCTTGATAAATCCATGTATGAGTAGAATATACAGCCTTATCAAAAGACCTACATTAAGCTTTTAAAGTAATTTTTGTTTTCTCTACAGATACTATTAACTGTAAAGAAAAAAATCCTGCACTTCTTCCAAACACAAATGAAATCATAAACTCCCTACAAGAAACCCTCTTCCACCATACCTTGCAACTCATTGACTTTGTTCAGTCTTTTTTATTAGATACTGCAAAAAAGAGAAAGAAGGAACAAGATGCACAGCCTAAAAAAGAATTATTGCAAAACTGATCATCCATTTTATCAGAAAGCAGTCAGGGTAGTCAGAAGGCTCCCTTGTTTTAAAGCAACATTAACAGATGCAAGCATTTATATAGATCAATTCTTAGCACTTTCATCGCTGCTGAACAAGAATCAACTTTGCAATGAAATTAAATTACTCCTAGGTCCCTTTGGATTCTGCACAGGGCAAGAGCTACTCAGGCAGACCTTGGTCTGAACTATAATATTGTGTAAGGTTTATTCTCATTCTCACCTAGCCTTACTCAGATCTGCAATCCCGTCATTGAGGGAAGAGGGAGAATAGCTGTTACCCTGCTAAATGCTATGAGCATTTAGTGGGGCAGAAAAAGGTCCCAGAGGACAAGGGCAGCAGAGCCCCAGTTCTGCCCTTCTTGATTTACAAGTTGCATTGGGAAAAATACAACATCCCAAGAAAAACAGCTGATATAAATTATTGTCTTCCCACAGCAAAGAAGTAACAGGGGAGGAACAGTGAATGTGATACTGGAACTTAACAGCAGAGCTGTACTAGTTATTTGTTTGTTTATTTTAAGGCTCATTTCACAACTGTGAATGTTCTTCCTCTGGAAAATAAATCAAAATATTTTAGTTTGAGTTTATGAGAAACTTCAAAAAAAATTAACCCAACCCTCAAGAAACCCAAACCAAAGAAACCAGGCCCTAAAACCTTTCAAATTTATTCAATAAAGTTGAATTCTACAAAAATAAAATAAAAAATTCTGTCCTTGTCTTTATTAAATTTCATACTGAAACAGAAATAAATCAGTTTGGAAATATAAAACAAAATTGTTCTCAAAACCACTTTCATGTGAACCCATTTTTCATCACATGCAACATGCTTCTGCAAAGCATTCTGCTTCCCCTGAACTGGTATTTTCCAGCTGTAATAAAGGGTTCCACCAGACAGTCTGACACAAGACGTACATAATCCACTTCTGTCCAAGCCATTACGGCTTGACCTCCTTTTCCAGATCTGAGAAGGAGGAGAATCAACTCTTTCTGCCAAGTCCTTTGAAACTGACTGATAAAGGTTGTCCCTGCTGCTGCTCCTCACTGCTATCACCTGCTCAGAGAAAGCTGTAACATCACAGTGCCACTGCAGATACTACACTGTGATAATGTTTGCTTATGTGAAAATTCTGACAAGGGTGAGCACTGACTAGTTTTCTGTGCCTGAAGGGAAGGGCTTAGAATATTCACATTTGAATTCTGTTTTGCCTGACTAGCTGCAGTTGTGGTCCTCTGTCAACCCCAAGTCATTTGGCACGCATAAACAAATTCTGCTAACCACAAAAATTCTCATCCTTTAAAGTAACTAAGCATTTACCTCTTCCCTCTAGACATACAGCACAATTTGCATTTACATCCACTTCAAAAACCAAGTCACAGAAAAATCAGTTTCAATTTTCAAATGCACCAACAGCTTATTAAAAAAAGAGTATTAAGACAGCTCATGAGAGAGACTGCTCATCACTTCTGAACTATGCATTTCTTACATGCAGAATTTTATGACTCTGGTCAGCAGTTTACATGTTACTCATCTGATACAGCAGGTTGAAGACAATGAATGACAGCGTAGTAACATTTTTCTTTTAAATACCTCTGACTGTAAAACAGATAAAAATACTAGGTAAATCAAGAACTACATCTGTATGAAAGTTTCTAAAAGACATTGGAGTAAAAAATATCCTACCAAGACATCAGAGTCTCTTGCAAGCCTAAAGTTGGTGGAAATACTGGGAGCTGATACTAAATGAAGCAGAATGCTTCTACACTAAAAGCATCTCAATTTCGACAAGTAGCCAAGTCTCACACTTGGCACACATGCACATTCTACAGAACCACAATCTATTTGTTTATTTAGATACACAGAGATAGTTTAGTTTAATTACTCTGAAATTATTATTACTGCTGATGATAGTGTTCTCTTGAACAACATGGAAAAGCACTTTGGATTGCTGGCACATGATGAAACACCAAAGTTCAGAATGTAGCTTCGGTTTTAATACATTTGGCTCTTGTATTGTTATGTCAATCAAAAATAAATCAAACATATGTGGCTTCATACTGAAGGGCAAATTTGTGGGTGAGGAGACAGGCAGGATCACTGCACATTCTACAGTTTCCAGAGTTTACTTGTTTGTTCATCCATGTGGAAAGCTCACTTTAGGGTTTTGCAGTGTTCTCCTTCACTGTCGGATAACTTACATAAATTCCCATTTGCTTGCTTAAGTTATCATTCACTTACTTTCATTTGTAAAACACAATTACAGCCCAAGAAATTTAAAAACAGAGATGTGCCTGTTTCATGGCAATATCCAGTCATCTTAAATAAGAAAGAATACCTTAAAATTGTATGCTTTTTTAAAGGTGCAATCAGTAACTATGCTGTAGTTGTGCCCATTCCTAAACTGCAAATTTCTTCATTTCCCATTCTGTCGCCCAGAATACTCATGAATTTCTTCAGGGTTAGTTTCTAGGAAAATTAATCAGCTAATTCAGCTAACTGCAAAGCCACTTCAGTTTACTTAGTTCAAGGTAAACTTTACTCTCCCACTGAAAGACAAGTACACATGCACATTTGCTGAGAGTGAGCATACAGCTGCCTGGATGCATTTAGAAATCTTCCATGAAGGAGCAATCAGCAATTTGAGGACTGCTTAGCAAAGCATTTATAGAATCATTGAAGATCTTGAGTTGGAAGGGACCCATAAGGATCCTCAAGTCCCACTCCCTGCTCCTCACAGGATCACCTAACACTAAATCATACAACAAACATTCCTTGAAATGACAGGCTCGGTGCTGTGGGGAGCCTGTTCTAGTGGTTGACCATGCTTTCAGTGAAGGACCTTCTCCAAATACTCAATCTGGTTCCAGATGCCTCTGTGAAGTGAAATACTTGAGGGAGATAAAGATGTAAACCCAGATCAGCCTCATCAGTATGAGACACAGGTTCATTTCTCAGCAAAGCCCTGGGTGCTCTGAGCTCAGGTGACAGAGGACTGCTGCAGCTCACTGGTCCTGGAACACAGCCTAACATGGACAGCTGCCGCTTCCAGCATCTCTCCATAGCCTTCACAGAGCCAGCTGGAAAGTCAGAGGAAAAAGCCACTGACAGGATCAAGGATCATTGGAAATATCTGGCCCCATGAGTATAAACAGAAGGTTCATTCATCCAAGGGCATGAAGTGTAATTCAACCACCGATACACAAGGGTTAAGGTGCTACAAAGAAAGCCAGAAAGGCACTGATAAATCTGGCTGAGTATGAATTTTGCAGAGGCATTTGAGATGTACAACATGTGCCCTCTAAAGAACACCATCTGAAAGGAGGGGACAAGGCCTATAATGCTCCCTCACTTCTCATAGAATTTTCCATAAGAGAAATCTTCACAAAGACATGCAGTAACATGCTGGCTACTACTGAATCAACATACTGGTCACAGAAAGGACAATGGACAAGAAAAATCATGTACCAGTTAGGGCCTAGATTAGTTACATCACCCTTTGCAGAACACCACTGTGATCAATGCTGCTCTCTGAAAAGCAACAGACAGAAATCATCGCTAGTGGACCATGATCAAACAAATCAGTTCCTCCACACTTTGCAAGTGATCCCAAAGGAGTGAAATCCATGAGAGACTGACTGGTGGGAAGAACAAGCCATTTAAGCAGGGAAGCCTTGCTGTGATTGTCCAGATCCTCCTCCCTCATTCCCAGACAAGAAACAAGAAGCTCTGACAAAGATGAAGAAATCCTGATCCAAACCCAGGCAAATGGAACATCAACCTCTCACTGCTACTGTTAGCAGAACCTTTGAAATCACAGGGAAAGGTCTTTTTGGCAACAGTAATAATGGAATAAATCTGGCAATGATTTCGGGTATAATTTAAAAAAAAACAACCCTGCTGATACATAACTGTGTGATCAAAACAGGCCTATATTGCATGCATGGGTTCAGAAAAACAACCAGTAACTTTTTGGTAGGAGAAAAACTTATTTCGAACTACTAAGAACACAGACAGTAATTCCAGTTTAGAAAGTCCCCAAGTCAGAGATCTGTAGGAGGCATTTGCGAGAATACTTTGGGAAAATATCATCAAGTGTTAGCCCTATTATCAATTTTTCTAGGCATTTTGGTAGCTCTTGTCACTGCCAGAAACAGGATCCTAAGCTAGAGGCACTTTGGTTTAATCATCTAACAGATCTGCTCTGACATACATAGTTAATTATTTAATTCCAGGTGTCCTCTGGGAGTTGGTTTTCTCACTCCCATTTGCAACCCAGACATGAAGCAGTTCAAACAAAAATAATTCCAGTGCCTGGGAGATGAACAAACAAATTTCACACTGAATGCATCAGTTTCCTTGGGTACTTATTTTCATTTTTGTTTATTACTTTAGTACACAGGGTGATGCTGCCCTTCAGTCATACACCATGACATCAAAATATATTTTGACGCAGTACTTTGCAGATGTTCTGAATTTACTCTGAATTCCAGGAGGGTTAAAAAGAAACAAGAAAAAAAAAAAAAGCAGGGAAAATATAAAAAAGGGGGAAAAAAAAGCTCCCCATTCCTTTGGAGCTCACAGAC